CATCCTATGGAAAACAAGTTGTAGATTTAGCAATTTCTGTTCTCACAGATAGTAACAGAAATGCATTGGTCTGTTTTAGTTGCAGTGATTAGACTGCTAGCAACACATAAAGCAGAGTTAGGGCCAATACAAAAACAGTAAAGGGTGTATGATACTGTCAAATATCATAACAATGTTAAAGCACCATAGAATAGGTAGCTTACTACAAGATAAAAGGAAACAAAAGCCTTTGGCTGAGGGCAGCTTATAATAAATATTAAACCGTAGTTAATATCTTGGTGGTGAATGGTAGGGCTGGATAATTAATTGCTATTGCAGTATTATCACTATTTTCAATTCATTTCAGTGTATTTATATAGCGCAAATTCCCAACACATCATCTGAAGGCACTTTACAGAGACAACACTGTGAGATTGGTTAGGAAAACCAGTTGATTGCATCCAATCATTGACTTGCAAGGCATGCTCCTCCTTGATGAGCCTATGGTGACGACCTTAGCATGCATTTAGTCGTTGAGTCTTCAGCAATCCCTCACACTGAGCATGCATATGGTGGCAGTGGAGAGGAAAACTCATTTAACAAAAGGAAACTTCCAGAAGATTCAGGCTCAGTGTGAGCAGCCATCTGCCGAGGCCGGCTGGGGTTCAAGGAGACAGAAGCAGGCATACAGAAAGAGGCAGATGTTCTAAAAAGTATAGTTTTGAAATAGTTCAGGTAGTCGAAGAGAACATTACAGATCCATTATTGTAAGCTAACGTATAGACCTTTTCATGCAACTAGTACTGAAACAATTAATCGGATTATTGTGATTAATTGATTATTTTAATAATTGTCAACTGATTTAGTAATCGTTTAATTGTTAACCGGAGTTTAGAGACTCTAACACATACATTTAGCTAAACATTTGCATTTAAGATAAAAATCTTCTTCATCTGTCTTTCTAGAACTCCTCAAGTGGAAAAGTTTTAGTTTCACCTGGTTTAATTTTGCAGAAAGTCTTCTTTAAGGATCCTTTGGCTGTCCGATTATTAATCGATTCATCAATTAAATGATCAACAGAAAAATCGATTTGCAAAGTCATTGTTATTTGCAGCCCTACATGCAGAACTCAAGTCCCCCTGACAGCGGTCATGATTTAATGCAATAAATCTCTGGAACCAAATCTGCTTGTGGTTTGTACAGAGGACTCATATAACTACAATAAATATAAAAAAAATATAGCAATTTTAAATTTTTGGTTAAATCTAAGGCTGTTCAACCCATCTTAAAGTAAGGCAACATTGACAAATTTATTTTCAGGTTTATTTGTTAAGTTGTTTTTTTTTTTCCCTGTTTCTTTTTTTCCCTTTTAAAGAAGTAATTTATGGCCGGATTTCAACTACCAGTTGATTATCCCTGGAATATTATGTTTAGTAACATAGCTCTTTGAAAACGATTTTACACAGTTTTCCACTTCCATTTGAAAGCCACACAATCTATGTTGAACTTTTAATCTACAGAAATGTTATATCAGTACTCATCATACACATATACTGTACTTTAATATTAATCCTATTTCTCCAGTTCTAAGACAAATGGAATATTTATTTACTAGGCTTATTACATTGCTAAAATTTGAAACTCAATATTGATTCTCAGGGAAATATTAATTAGTAGAAAGCATTTTTTAATACCATGAGCATAAAAAAATGACAACTTAACATAAAAAACTTATTTTTTAATCATACAATGGAAGATGCTTTCACAACAGAATCACATAGGCCAATCAGATAAGTGTGCAAATGAATGCAAAATAACCCAAATATTACAGTTAAACACAATTTTAAACTAGTCTGTTTAGTTTTCTTTTAATGTAAAAAAAGAATTACAGTATCAATGTTTTAAACACCCTAGTCTGTACTACAAATACAGCATAATTTTAGCATTTACATGTACCAAACTTCTGGTTGTTCTAGGCTTTATTAACCCTTACAAAAACTCAAGGGACCAATAGGAACTAGAAGACCATTTTTGTCCATCATACTGCAGCATTTGTCTTTTTAGTAACTGCTGTCACTTCAAAGTTGTTACCACACAGAAAGGGACTCCTACCACAAATATGTCTGCCAGAACTCTCAAACCAAGTCTCCTAGATGAAGCCCTGTGAAAGAGAACTCCTTGAGATATAATTTAATTAGTTGTTTTGCATTTTTTTATTTTTTTTATTTAAACTTTTTTGCCATTTATCATAGTTTTAAAAGGTGAAATAAATAACACTTTCTAAGAGTATCTGTGTTTTGTATTAATAAAAAAAAAAAAATAGATTATTTGATTGCTA